GTCTCCAAACCCTGCAGACTCCTGTGGTAAGCACCTGCACCACTCCTCCTCGGGGAGCAAGGGGTGTCTAGCTAGTTCTGCCACTTGTTGGGCCCCGGCTCGGAGAACAGTTGCCTGACCAAGCCCCAATGAAGGGTATATGGCAACCCTGAGCTGAGAACCCGCTCCTGGGCTTATTGATCGCAGCTGGCTTCCCTCACTCTGATGCCTAGAAACTCTGCTGCACTTAGGCACCCCCAGTCTTCCTGTAACCCTGGGGTCTCACTTCCTGTGAGACCACACTGTCCCATCTGGGATTCCAACTCACTTCGCCACCTGAGTACCTTTCAGGCAGGGATGTCTCTCACTGGAGCAGACTTCTAAAAGATCCGATTTGTACTCCACTGCTTTATCACTTTCAGGTAGCCAGCTTCCGGAGGCTCCCTTTCCCCCGAGGTTTATGTTCCAATATATCACCTTGGATTTGCTTCTCCGCATCTCCTACATTGCAGAAAGTGGTTGCTTTTCTATTTGTAGAATTACAGCAATTCTTTTCTTAGATGTCTGGTTGAGTTGATGGTATTCAGAATGATTTGATAGCTATCTAGCTGAATTCCTGGGACCAGACGAAACTAAGGTCTCCTACTCCTCCTCCATCTTAGAAACTCGAGCCTTCCTCTGATTCCTTATTATCATTTCTCCTCCTGGATTATTGCTACAAACATCTAATTAATCTCACTGTTTCTACCCTTGACCCTTTACAGTTTTACACATTTATTCAGAGCACATATCTCCTCTCCTTAAAATCCTTCCAATGGCTTCCCATCTCACTCAGAATAAAAGTCAATGTCCTTCTATAACCTTAAGGCCCTACATAATCTGTCTCTTCCATTAATGCTCTGACCTCATTTCCTACTATTCTTTTCTATTCTTTTCACTCTAGCCACACTGGCCTCTTTGCTGTTTCTCAAACATGCCTGGCAAATTTATACCTCAGGACATTTGCACTTGTCCTTCTGCCTGGATGCATTTCCTCTGACTAGTTCCTTCACTTCCTTCAGGTTTTTATTCAAGTTAACCTTCTGGTGAGCTCTTCCCTGGCTCACCATCTACAATTGCAAGCCTTCCTCCAAACTCATTCTTCACATTCCCTTTATTTTTCTTTGTTCAGAATTTATCAGAGTGTAACATACTGTATATTTTTGTCAATTATGTTAACTTTATGTCTCCTTTGGTAGGAAGTAAGTTCTATGAGAGCAAGAAGTTTGTCTGTTTTGTTCACTGTGTGTCCTCAGCACTAAGACATGCCTGACACACACAAAGTCTTCAGTATCTGTCAAATGAATTAATTATAATGCTGAGAACTGAGCAAAATATGTAGACTGACAAGACAAACATATACAATAATGCTCACTTTTATACAAATTGTTAAAAACAGTTATTATTTTATTAATATTTCCACATGAAAAGTGGAGTTCTGCACTCAGATAACAAAACATTAGAATTATGGACTACTACAAAAGTGTGTGATTTTTTTAACCTTAGCAAATTCCCACAGTGATTGCTAAAAATTGTGATATAAAATATTATCATTCTTATGATACACTCTTTGAGCAGTCGATAATAATCACAAAATAGAGCACGAGAAACCTTAGGTAGGTTTAGTAATGATTTCTGGGTCTTGAATTTCAACTCATTACCAGCAGAGGGTGCTACCGATCCACACTTTCATATATATGTTTAAAAAGAGTTTTACCGGGCGCCTGGGTGGCTCAGATGGTTAAGTGTCTTAACCTGAGCCTTCAGCTCAGGTCATGATCCCAGGGTCCTGGGATCGAGTCCTGCATCGGGCTCCCTGCTCCTTGGGAGCCTGCTTCTCCCTCTGCTTCTCTCTCTCTGTCTGTCATGAATAAATGAATAAAATCTTAAAAGAAAAAAAAAAGAGTTTTACTGACTTTAAAATCAGGTTTCAACACTAAATGACATTATCTTACAAATCTACATTATATGGTAATGGATCAACCACCCAAAAATAACGATTTGAGTTTTAAAAATCTACTGTTTTATTCTTTTTGTATTTATTTAAAACGATGATATTGTACATAGATATGATACAAAAATATACAGAAATAATTAAATCTCTCTTCTACCCCTTCCTTGAACTGCCAGTTTTCCTTCCCAGGGTTATCATTGTCTCTAGTTTCTCCTGTATTTATGTGTATGTGTGTTTCGCTTTGTGTTTGTACTGTATATTTTTAATCAGAAATGATGTAAGTACTGTTCTTTATCTTAGGATCAATTTATAACTTGACCACATAATTTTGGGATTCCATATTAGTACTTTTAAAAGCTTTTTCTTTTAAACAGCTGTATTTTATTCTAATGTGTGAATGAATTGTGATTTATATAACCAGTACCCTTTTGAAGGGTGAAGATTGTTTTCAATATTTTGCCTTTCCAAACAAAACAATAATAAATAAAGTTTTATATTTACATTTGTAAATATGTGCAAATATATCTGTAGGTTAAATTCCTGGAAAAACTGGGTAGCCCTTTGAAAAGTAATGAAGGTAAAGTCCTATTTGCCTACATACCAAAATAAATTCTAAATGTAGTCAGTCATGAAAGTACTAGAAAAAAAATGGGAAATTCTTTTGTGTGATTTTGGAGTCAGGAAAGACTTCCTAAGGCTAACACAAACTCAGAATTCACACAGAAAAGGTTGAAATTTGACTGTATTTAAAAAAACAACAACAACAACTCTGCATGGCAAAAATAGCATAAACCAGAAATAGAAATGACAGTTGTACAAATGAATTGCTAATGAATATTAAAAAGAAATAAATTTCTTAATATATAAAGAGCTTTTCTAAGTTGATAAAATCAAGCCCCTATTGAAAAGTGGCCAAAGAATACAAACAAACAGAGCATAGAAATACAAATGGCTTTAAACACATGAAACCATATTCATGAAGAGAGAAATGCAAATTAAAATGGCGTGATGCCATATTTCACCTATCAGATTGGCAAAGATCAACACATTGTGAGGGTGCATGGAACAAAGCAGGCTCACAGATTGTTGGCAAGATGATAAACTGATATAATCTCTATGGAAACCGATTTGGCAATAGCTATTAAAATTTTCAAAAGAAGGTTGGTGAAGTTTTCTTTTTCCTTTTAGTCAAATCTCCTTCTTTGAATTATCTGTATGTACACAACCAAAAGTAAAGGCTAAACAAAAGAAAAGGCACAGAGTTTAAAAATAAAACCAAAATATTTTAGGAGAGGTATTATGGGGACACCTGGGTGGCTCAGTCAGTTAAGCTTTCGACTTCGGTTCAGGTCATGATCTTAGGGTCCTGGGATCGTCCTGCATCTGGCTCCCTGCACAGCAGAGTCTGCTTGTCCTTCTCCTCCCTCTGCCTCCCCGCCCCCCCACCAGCTCGTGCACTCTCTCTCAAATAAATAACATCTTAAAAAAGAAAAAAACGAGAGAGGTATTATGCCTTTTGTGTAATGTGGATGGCAACCATTTTGGGCTATGGAAATTTACATGACAACCAAAATTATCCTTTAGTGTATATCAGTCAAGGTCCCTTAGGAAACAGATGGCACATTTTTTTTAAAGGGGAGGCTGAAAAGAATTTCACTCATGAAGGTGTGGGCAGGGTTAAGAGAAACAGTAGGAAGAAGGGAGCACCCCCTGGTGTTGGCATGATGGCTTTAGGAAGCCATTACCATCCCCAGCAAGAGCCACGGGAAGGCAGAGGTACAGAGCCAAGCGAGGATTGTTACTCCTGCTCTACGTCTGGATAGATCTGGAAAGGCAACGGATGATTTTCATTCAGCTAATATGTATCTTGGTGGTATCTTCAGGGCCTTGCTTTATTTCCACTTCCCTCCAAAAAGGAATTGCCAAATTTTCTTTCAAAACGTTCACTTCAGAATGGGACCCATAGATCACTTACTTTCCAATCCTTTTCTTTCTGGGATAGTGTCTTTATGAAAGTTGGCTTCCTGAAGACATTGCTTTTGTTTATTGAAGTTTAATTAAAAGAAATTTAAAGATGATGGCACCTAGAATATAAGAGCATTTCAGAATACATTATAAGAAATAGTACATTTTACATAGAGTGGGCTTTGAAAAATAAAATGTATGTTATGTTTGGCTATACTGAAGGAGGATTCCACTATCTAGTTTTCTTTCCTTCCTTCTTTCCTTTCTTCTAATAGTGCCCCCTTCCTTCCATCCCTTTCGATCTACTTTTGGTTGGACAGTGTGTCCCTTGGATCAACCAGAGTTAATCTCAGAGATTGAGCTGCTAATGTCTAGCCACATTAAAGACAGTTAGAAAGGGATATTGTTTCATGTAAATACATTTTTTCTTTTTTTTTTCTCACCTACTTACATAAGATTGCATTTCCTTGCAGTGTCCCTCAGTGGTTCTTGGATACAAGACAAGCAGTTACTTTCAGGTCTGGCAACGTCAGGGTCAACATGCCTTAAGGGGAAATGACTTGGCAGGTAAACACCATGCTGTTATCAACTCTCCAGTATATCGAAAAACCCAAAGCCCCGTCTTGTTTTTTGTTTTGTTTTTGCTGAGTCTGCATTTTATCCCTTTATACTCTCTCCTGTGTTCACAAAGCATGTGTTTGGGGTGGGAGAAGCTGTTTGGGGGGAGAAGGCACGTTTCTGGCTGCTTTGGGGCTTGTGCTGTCCACGGGCAGAGAGCACAGTAGGAGCACATTCTGTTAGGATCCTATGAGGCAAACAACAAATAAATAATGGAATAATATGTTCATTTAATTCATTACACATCCGTTGCAGTTTATTGTGCAGGCTTTTCCTTTCACTACTTTGAGAAACATCAAGTGTAATACGCTCCTAGGGAGCAGGAAGTAAGAGTACAATTTGCCAGACAGGTGATATGGTCTAGTGGATTCAGAATTTTAATATTATTTTTGGCTCCACCACTAGCTTCCTTTATGACTATCAGGGAACTCTCTCTGGGTCTTACTGGTTTCGGTATCTGCGGGTTGATAAGATCACAAGCACAGATGTTATGATAGTTAACTTCCTGGGAAATTAAACAGCACATCAATGAGAGGAATGGGTTAATTGGTTCTTTCTGGGCACTCTTGTGCTTTAAGAGTACATTTACTATCTGAATAAATTAAAGGAGTTTCAGAAAGTGCATCCTACATGTGCTGTCTCATCTCATCCCTGCAGCAAGCCCTGGAGGTCATTCATAATATTGATTTTGCAGATAAAGAATCTGAAACACAGAGTTAAATAATTTGTCAGAGGTCACAAAACTAATTGGGCTGAGCTGGGATTTGAACTCAGGTTATCTGAATCCAGAGCTCCAACTCTGAACTACTACACTTCCCCTCGCTCTCCTTTGGGGACAGAAATGATGACCCACAGGAATAGGAGCAAATATAAAAATCTAGATATTCCAAAAATATTTTCAGAGCACCCCAGGCTGGGCGAGGAAGAGAGAAAATAGAAGTAGGAAATCACCAGTGCTAAAGGCTGTGAAGCATGTGATTAGGGAAGGAGGGGTCTGGCTAGAGAAGCCCAGGGGGCCGTAAGCAACACTGGCAGCTTGAGAACAAAATGTTCCAGTTACGATGTTTCTTGTATGTGTGGAACCCAGAAGCTGGTTTGCTTGTTTGTTTTGTTTCTAAGATGTCTGTCCTCCCCCTGCATAGTATTTCTTGGATGGGAAGTGGCATTACAAAAAAAAGGTCCCTCATGTCTGAATCTGCCTGTATCTTCCCTATGTAGACTTAAACATTTTTTTTCACTATTCTGCAACCTCCCACCTACCTCACGGTTCTGTTTACCCAGTGCTGCCAGGTCTCCCGACCTCACAGGTTTGTCCAAGCCCCTACCTTCCCCAAATAGTGTATTATTTAAAGCCCAGTTTATGTCTTACCTACTTAAAAAACACCTCTCAACTCACACTGTCCTCCCCCTGTCCCGACCTTCCACGGAGTTTAATGTACCGCCCGTGCACTTCTTTGCTTAATTATTGCACTTTGTGTAGTCGACATACTGTGTCTGCCAAACCAGAGACAGTCCCTTAAGAGATGTCATGATTAATATTAGTGTTTTTAGAAACCATACAGCACTTGGCCCAACAGAAACGTACGAAATTTAGTTAAAAAGTGACTTTTCCTCCATCCTGATTACAGAGATTATATTCTGGGTTATGTTCATTTTGTTGTTATTACCGTGGTGGGGAGCACACCAAAATGGCATCGATACATCCAAAGCAGTGGTCCTCCTTCCTCCTCTGTCTTTCCTCACCCCCCCCCCCCCCCCCCCCCCCCCCCAAGACCTTGGTGCGACCCAAGCGGCAGGTGCAGCTGATCACTGGCTTCCCTTTTCTCCAGCTGTAGGTAGTTTCTCTGCCCGCTCCAGAGCGCCCCGGCGGAAGTCAGCTCCGCCCAATCATCTGATCCTGCGGGTCTTGTCTCTAGTCTGTTCTCAGAAGATGGTTCTTGGAGTGCTGGTAAAGTGAAAATAAGGTGGTGAGTTTTCCCCCAAGTAAACAGCTAAACTTAAGCGGATGCTGGCCTTTAGTCATCTAAGGTCAAGAAAGTCCCTTCTAAAAAAAAAAAGTCCCTTCTAAACAAGGCAAAGCCATCCCAGGGCTAGCCTCTGTCTTCTCCTCACCCCCAGGCCCAAACTCAATACGCTTGTGGCGCTAAAACTAGATTAGCCCCAGAGATGTTTTCACCACAGGCAAATCCTAGAATTGTTTTCAAAGGGGCGTTTGGATACCTAAGGTCCTGAATTGTCATTTCCAGCCTGAGTCATGTGCCATGTGTGTTAGTGGAAAGAGGTTATGTGGTTTTGTAGATTCCCCCCAAGAACTTGGAACCACCTGAATTCTTGCAGTTAGAGATTTTAGGTCTTCTCCCAGTCTCTGAGAGGAAAACCAGACCTCATATAATAAGAACTGAAACAGAAGAGCACAGTGAGTTTTCAGAAGCATATGTGTGACTATGCTATTTCAGGAATTGTTCCAGTATGAGATGTTTATCATAAGTTTGGTGTGACCCAGCCAAGGAGCTTAATATAACAGGGTTAAGTGAATGGTGGGAGGGGAGAGTCCCATTCTATGCCAGCTTGCATTTATTAGTAATCAGACAGGTTTGCAGATGAGACTCGCTGAGAATTTACTAAATCTGGGACTTGTGGTTTGCAAATCATTTTGATTAACAGCTGCTGTCACCTATCTTAGGACAGAAAAAAGTGTTATTATTTTATTACACTAAATATTAGTCACAAAGAGACTTAAAACAGTATAATTTGGCAAATATAAAATTTACTGGTTGTCGAAAACCATGCTCCGCCCTCGCACTAGGCTTGCTAAAGATGACTTTCCTGGGAACATCTTAGTGAACAGATGCTTCTTCTGTTTCCATGAAGAGTTTACTGGCATCTGTTAGTGAAGGGCTCTTTTGGCAAAAGGAATTTCTTGTTTATCTACATATACACACAGATATTTAAAAAAAAATTTTACATAACTTACTTAAGGGTTTTGCCTTAATTAGATCTCCAAAAACTGGGACTCAGGTGAAATATTTGCCTGAGTTTCATAATTAAGTATTGAACGATTATTAAAATATGCCTACCTGATCTAAAGTTTGGAAGCTTAATATTCAAGAAATAATTGTTAGTAAAGGGAGAAAATACTTAAATGGTTGCTAAAGGAAAGATAATTACATTGTCAACATAATCTTTTGAGTTAGAGTTTGATTCAGAAGACTTTCTTAAAGAGCTTTTGAATACCACTAAAATCTTTTTTCAAGGACACTACTTTTGTATCTTGTATAAATCTTTGCAAAGAAATTCAACTATTTCTTAGTGATTAAAGAATATGGATATTGAAAAATACAAATTATGTCCTTATGTTTGTCAATTCCTAAAGAATATGAAATACTGTCTACTGTACATAAATAGTGAATTTATTCTAACTCCTTTAGGAAGTCAGAACAACTGCAGGAGATTTCTGTAAGTCTCAGAGTGTAAATGCCTAGAGGTTAATATTGAACTCTGCAGTTACATCACTGGTGAAAATTAGATCCGTAATGAGTAAAATTACTTTAGGTAAGAAACAAATCACATTATTTTTTAAGATTTTATCCATTTGAGAGAGAGCGCACAAGTAGGGGGGAGGGGCAGAGGGAGAGGAGGAAGCAGACTCCCTGCTGAGCAGGGAGCCCTACTCAGGGCTCCATCCCGGGACCTGAGATCATGACCCAAGCCGAAGGCAAACGCTTAACTGACTGAGCCACACAGCCACCCCCAAATCACATTGTTTTATAGATGTTGCCAGGCCTCGGAGGCTTTTAATCATTGCTTTGGATCATCAGGGAGATGGTTAAAAAGTGTTGACTCGAGATTTTACTATATATAATAAAGCAATTCAGGCAATAACGAGACTCAGATTCTAGAAATAACAATGAGGTGTAGTTCAGTCAATGAGAAATAAAATGAGTGAAATAATTGGTATGGATAATCTCTAACATTATTTTAAATTCAGCTAATGTGAATCTAAATGGAAATTCCTATAGCAGATTTGTGGTCCCAGTGTTCTGTTTATAACCATGGATTTAGCAAACAATATAGCATTATGCACAGTGCATGACACATAATAGAGGCCCCTCAATTTTTCCATCCTCACTCCCAAACTAGGATAACCCCCTATTATAAGCTCCCAGAGACCCTGGCACTTTTCTTTCCCAGTGTGTAATTATATGGTTATCTCTGGGCTTTAGGGTTGCTAGATTTATCTAATAAAAATAGAAGCGGCTCAGTGAAATTTGAATTTCAGATAAACAATTTTTCAGTATGTTTTTCTTGTGCAACTTTTGTGATGTACTTATACTAAAAAATTAGCCGTTCTTTATCTGAAATTCAGATTTTTTTTTTAAGATTTTATTTATTTGAGAGAGCACAAGCAGGGGGAGTGGCAGGCAGAGGGAGAAGTGAGAAGCAGGCTCCTGGCTGAGCAGGGAGCCCAATGTGGGGCTCCATGCGGGCCTCAATCCCAGGACCCTGGGATCATGACCTGAGCCGAAGGCAGACGCTTAACCCACTGAGCCATCCAGGCGCCCCTGAAATTCAGATTTTCTTGGGCATCCTGGATTTGATGTGGCATTCCCGGTAGCTTACTTGTTCATATCTGTATGTCCTGCAGACTACAGGTCTTAGGAGAGCAGATACTCTCTGGAGCAGAGGTATTAGCACTTTCTAGGTACTTGATAAATATTGGTTGAGTGCCTAAAAGGATGAGTAGTATGGAGTACAACTGAGGTTCAGAGAATTTAAAAGCAAAAAGCATTTCCTGGGGCACCTGACTGGCTCAATCAGAGGAGCATGTGACTCTGGATCTCAGGGTTGTAAGTTAGAGCCCCACATTGGTTGTAGAGACTACAAATAATAAACTTAAAAAATAAAAAAACTTCTTCCCTTTGGGATTTCTACAAGTATACCATCTTTACACTGTAAATATTCAATCAACTAAGATAAAGAGGAAATTCCATTTAAAAGAGACTCTGAAGGTGCCTGGGTGGCTTAGTCAGTTAAGCCTCTGCCTTTGGCTCAGGTCATGATCTCAGGGTCCTGGGATCAAGCCCCGCATCAGGCTCCCTGCTCTGCAGGGAGTCTGCTTCTGCCTTTGCCTCTGCCTCTCACTCGTGTGTGCTCTCTCTCTCAAATAAATAATATCTTAAAAAATAAAAGAGACTCCAGGCAACTGATCTTGCAAATATAATTAACTTTCAGTTTTTAATTTGCAGTTAGTACTTTTTCAAAGATAGTTATTGCACAAGTTCAACTTGTATTTTTAAGTGTTATGGCAGATTGCAGCTAACCTTTTCTGTTGAGATCTAAAACTAAAAAAGGTTTGTACGGGACAGACAGGAGATGTTTCCAGGCCATATATGGAGGAGGTGCCCCAAATTTTGAAATCCTTATCATCACATCTTTTGAACTCAGACGTTCTGCTTTATATTAGAAAAGGCAAAACAAATTAATCTTGAGAACATTCATTAGTTCATGAAGAGTCAGAGTCTTAAGTATACTCTTTTTAAGGTTTAGTTCATAAACCATGGAGTGGAGGTCACTTAGGTGAGTCATGGGAGTTTAGCAAGCAGATGGTAAAAGGAGAAAACTGCCTTGGAAAAACAAATAGAAATGCATGTCTTATATACTACAAATAGAAATGCATGTCTTGTATGCTAGGAACATTAATCTGGATTAGTCACAAATGCCCACAAGGCAAAGCCTTTCCCTGTGGCTTGAATGGCCTCCCACTACAGAGTTCAACAAGGAGGGTAGACAGGATCTGAGAGTTTGAGGTTCCAGTTTTAGGGCTTCTATTAGCCTTGTGCCCAACCTGCACTTCTGTTCTCTGGCTCTTGAAGGGACAAACAGCCCTTTCATATTGAGAACACTGACAGACTCTACTTGACATGAGGAAATTCGATGGCTCCTCCGGTGTCCTCGCCACAGTCAGCCATAGATTTAAAGCATATGTGTTCACAGGTGAACTCTCTTCTGTCATTCCCACTACATCACTTCCAACCTCCCAGTGGAGCGAGGAACAGCTCCCATTTGGCCAGGGCAAATTCTGCAGATAAGGTGGTGGCTGTGAGGAGTTGAGGGTCAATACTCACGGGAGCTGGGGGACACATCTACAAGCCTGGTAATTGTGTGTATTACATATGACTGTGGCTTATCAATGATGCCAACAATAATGTATTGTGTATCTAGAAAAAAATCACATCATGGTTTTTGAATACAAGAATTAAAATTGTTTTTGAGGAAACAACATGCATACAGAGTTTAAACAATGTCTTCCAGTGATGGAAGACAAAATTTAATTAAATGACAAACATACAGTACAATTATAAAGCCTAGGAGAGTTCAGGAAGAATAGACTCCAGTGAGTATACACTGATTCCAGAATTTCCATAGAGGAATGTGTTTTAGGCTTGGCGTTGAAAAATAACCCTTGAATATATGCAAAGGAGGGTATTGTCAAGTGACAACACAAAGGTTGAGATGATCATGACTCTAATTAGTAAAGGATTCTGCTGGAGGGAACTTCATTGGCTAGAGCTGGTGGTTGTCAACTTGGAGTAAAATGAAGCCAGATTTTGAGGATTTTTGAGTACCTTCTAAATACCAGTCTTTCTAAATACTCCTTCCAATTATAGTTTTTTTTTTTAATTTCTCTACCTTTTGTTCATTTTCTCTGAGGGGATTTTTTTAAGAAAGATCTATGAATGGAAATCTTAAGGTCCTAAAAATCATCACTTTCAAACTCTGTAACTCTCCAGCTATTTGTAACTATTCAAACTATTATAACTCTTTGCCTAGGTTAATTTAAATTTTGCCAGTTGAGGCAAAATTTTGGATTTATATCCACAGGGCATATATAGTAAGTTCTCATTAGATGAGAACTAGAACAGTACTCAAATAGGAGCTGTAAGCATCCTTACCATCACCATCATATGTGACATATTATTATAAATGAAAAGCAATATGGTTAGGAGTCAGCCTCTTGAGCAGGACTGCCTGGGATCAAATCCGGCTCCAGCACTTATCTGGGGTGACTTTGGGTATGTCTCTTATTTTCTCTTTGCCTGGAAATGGAGATAATAGTAATGTCTACTTCACAAGGTTGTTTTGAGAATGAAATGAGTTGATACATATAAAGGATGTAGTACCATGCCTGGCATGTGGCAAATATTTTATATGTGTTAGCTGTGTTTATTTTCAGGAAATTCAAGTGCCAAAGTTAAACACACGGAAAGTTGTTTAAACCAATCATTTAAAGACCTCTTAATCCCTCCACACGTGATTGAGGACTAAATTGAGTTGTTAGATTATTGTCAGGACAATACTAACTTAAAAAAAAATGTCTACTTCTGCCTGCACTTTAGCCACTTCATCTGCATGATCGGAGGAAGGTCAGCAATGGCTTCTGCGAGGAAGGTCACTGACAAGCGGCATAACCCAGTGGAAAGCATTTGTAGAAAAATCAGAGCCATCCAAAAGAGAAAAGAGATTTCAGATCCAGTTCAACAAATTCTCAAGTATCAATCTAGCAGTTTTGATAGCCCACAGATTAACACCAAGAAAGATTTTGAAAAGGTACTGAAGAACATGGCAACCACTCCTATTCCCTCACCCAACACTTGTTTCTCAAGTATTGAGAAAGACGATGCCATCATTATATCTCCTCAAATAATGTCTCCAAGAATCCCATCCATTTCTCACCTCAGCTCTCCCGAGAATGCAACATACCCTATTCCTCTCACAAGTTCTGAAAACCTCTCAAGGCCAAGATCACAGAGCTCTCAGAATTACACATCTCGGGTATCACAGACCAGGAAAGGGGAGCACTTCTTTAACAAGGATTTGAAAAACTGTTGTAGTGAAAATAATTTTAGTGCATCAACACTTGACTTTGATTCAACGTCTCATAAAAACTCTGAATGTTTTACTCCTCAGGAATCACTGGCGAAAAAATTATCTCTAAATGGAGCTGGTAAATATTAATCGTTTAATGTTAGTTCTTCCAATAAAGGAATAAGCACTTTCTGAATACCTGAGTTAAAAAAAAAAAACCAATTCACATGATTAAAACTTGGATGGAAGCATCCATCTTTCCCTTTTTAAGTATGTTTCTTTTTCTCTCTTAAAGAATTTTTCATTTTTAAAAATTATTTTTAAATTTTTTAACTGATGTATAGTTGACCCATTTCAATTATGTACTTTATTAAATGCTCACCATAAGTGTAGTTAATGTCTGTCTCTGTGCAAAGTTATTACGTATTGTTGACTATATTCCCTGTGCTGTACTTTAATACCCATGACTTATTTATTTTATAACTGAAAGTTTGTACCTCTTAATCCACTTCACCTATCCTGTCACCTACCTCCCTTCTGGCATTCACCAATTTGTTCTCTGTATATTTTAGTCTATTTACTTTTTGTTTGTTTTGTTTTTTAGATTCCACACATAAGTGAAAGTAAATGGTGTCTTTCTCTGTCTGACTTATTGCACTTAGTATTATGCCCTCTAGGTCTATCCATGTTATCCTGAATGACAAGATTTTATTCTTTTTTATGGTTGAGTAATATTCCATTGGGTATATATACCACTTTATCCATTTATCAGTAGACATTTAGATCACTTCCATATCTTGGCTATTGTAAATAATGTTGCAATAAACATAGGAGTGCATGTATCTTTTCAAATTAATATTTTTGTTTTCTTTGGATAAACACCCAGAAGTGAAATTACTAGTATTTTCATTTTTAATTTTTTGAGGGACCTCCATATTGTTTTCCATGGTAGCTGTGCCAGTTTATAATCCCACCAATAGTTCATAAGGGCTCCCTTTTCTCCATATCCTTACCAACAGTTGTTATTCTTGACTTTTTGATGCTCATTCTGACTGGTGTAAGGTGATATCTCACTGTGGTTTTGTTTTGCATATCCCTAATGATTAGTGATGTCAAGCATCTTTTCATGTGTCTGTTGACCATTGGTATGTCATCTTTGGGAAAATGTCTGTTCAATTCCTCTCCCGATTTAATTGGGTTATTTGGTTTTTTGGAGTTGCTTGTTATTTCTATATCTTGGATATTAACTTCTTCTTGGATATATCATTTGCAAATATATTCTCCCATTCATTTTATTGATAGTGTATTGCCGTTTCATTTTATTGACAGTTTTCTAAGCTGAGCAAAAGCTTTTTAGTTTGATATGGTCCCAATACTTTATTTTTCCTTTTGTTTCCATGTCCTGAAGAGAAAGATTCAGAAAAATATTGCTAAGGTCACTGTTCAAGAGTTTACTGCTTGTGTTTTCTTTTAGGAGTTTTATGGTTTCATCCTTTACATTTTGATATTTAATCCATTTTAAGTTTATTTTTGTGTATGATGTAAGGAGTGGTCTAGTTCCATTCTTTTCCATGTCGTCCAGTTTTCCCAGTATTATTTATTGAAGAGACTATCTTTTCCCTACTACACGTTCATATCTCCTTTGTCATAGATTAATTGACAATAAGTGTGGGTTCATTTCTGGGCTTTCTATTCTGTTCTATTGATCTATGTGTCCGTTTTTGTGCCAGTACCATACTGTTTTGATTACTACTGCTTTGTAATATAACTTGAAATCTGGGATTGTGATGTCTTCAGCTTTGTTCTTCTTTTTCAAGATGGCATTGGCTATTTGGGGGTCTTTTGTGGTCCCATATAAATTTTAGTATTTGTTGTTCTAGTTCTGTGAAAATTTTTTTTTTTAATTTTAGGTAGTTAACATACAGTGCTATTTGTTTCTGGGGTAGAGTTCAGTGATTCATCAATTACAAACAACACCCAGTGCTCAAAACAAGTGCCCTCCTTAATACCCATCACCCATCTAATCCATCCGCTACCCACCTTCCTCCATCAACCCTCAATTTGTCTCTATAGTTAAGGAATCTCTTTTAGCTTGTTTCCCTCTCTCCTTTTTTCTTTTCCCCTTCCCATATGTTCATCTGTTTTCTTTCTTAAATTCCACATATGCGTGAGCTCATATGGTATTTGACTTTCTCTGACTGACTTATTTCACTTAGCATAATACACCCTAGCTCCATCCATGTCATTGCAAATGGCAAGATTTCATTCTTTTTGATGGCTGAATAATATTCCATTGTGTGTGTGTGTGTGTACACATACCACATCTTCTTTATCCATTCATCAGTTGCTGGATATTTGGGCTCTCTCTATAGTTTGGCTATTATTGATAATGCTGCCATAAACATTGGGGTGAAGGTATCCCTTCAAACCTGTATTTTTTGTATCCTTTGGGTAAATAAATACCTAGTACTGCAATTTCTGGGTCATTGGATAGTTCTATTTTTAACATTTTGAAGAATCTCCATACTGTTCTCCGGAGTGGCATCAGTTGACATTCCCACCAACAGTGCAAGAAAGTTCCCCTTTCTCTGCATCCTCATCAACACCTGTTGTTTCTTGTGTTGTTAAATTTAGCTATCCTGACAAGTAGTAGTATTTTGATAGAGATTGCCCTAAATGTATAGATTGCATTGGGTAGTATGGATATTTTAACAATAGTAACTCATAATCCATGAGGATGGTATATCTTTCCATTTTTTTTGGTATTGTTTTTAATTTCTTTCATCAATGTCTTATAGTTTTCAGACTACAGGTATGTCACCTCTTTTGGCTAAATTTATTTTATTTTATTCTTTTTGATACGTTTGTAAATTGGATTGTTTTCTTAATTTCTCTTTCTGTTTGTTATTGGTGTATAGAAATGCAACAGATTTCTGTATATTGATTTTGTATTTTGAGACTTTACTGAATTCATTTATACTTCTAAGAGTTTTTGCTGTAGTCTTTAGTGTTTTCTATATATAATATGTCATCTGGAAATAGTGACAGTTTTACTTCTTCCTTACCAATCTGGATGACTTTTATTTCTTTTTCTTATCTGATGGCTGTGGGTAGGACTTTCAGTACTGTGTTGAATAAAAGTGGTGAGAGTGGACATCCTTGTCTTGTTCCTGATCTTAGAGGAAAAGCTCTCAGTTTTTCACCATTGACTATGATGTTAGCTGTGGGTTCTTCATATAAGGCCTTTATTATGTTGAGATATGTTCCCTCTAAACCTCCTTTGTTGAGGCTTTTTTTATCATGAACGATGTACTTTGTCAAATGCTTTTCCTGCATCTATTGAGATAGTCGTATGGTTTTTCTTCTTCATTTTGTTAATATGATGTATCACATGGATTGATTGATGCATATAGAATCATCCTTGCATCCATGAAATAAATCCCACTTGATTGTAGTGAATGATCCTCTTAATGTACTATTGAGTTCAATTTGCTAGTATTTTGTTGCGGATTTTTGCAACTATGTTCATCAGAAACACTAGTCTGTAGTTTCCTTTTTTGTAGTGTCTTTCTGATTTTGGTGTTAGGGTAATGCAGGCCTCATAGAAGGAACTGGAAGCTTTCTGCTCTCTTACATTCTTTGGAATAGTTTGCGAAGAGTAGGTATTAACTCTTCTTTAAATGTTTGGTAGAATTCAATTGTGAAGCCATATGCTCCTGGACTTTTGTTTGTTGGGAGTTTTTGATTACTGGTTCAATTTCAATACTAGTAAGTATTCTGTTCAGATTTTCTATTTCTTCCTGATTCAGTTTTGGGAGATTGTATGTTTCTAGGAATTTATCTATTTTTTCTAGGTTGCCCAATTTGTTGGTATACAACATTTTGCAGTAGTCTCATAATCCTTTGTATTTCTGTGGTATTGGTTGTAACTTCTGTTTCATTTCTGATGTTATCTGAGTCCTGGATTCTTTTTCTTAAGATTTTATTTATTTGTTTGACAGGAGAGAGAGAGAGAGTGAGAGAGGGAACACAAGCAGAGGGAGTGGGAGAGGGAGAAGCAGGCTTTCTGCTGAGCAGGGAGCCCGATGTGGGCTTGATCTCAGGACGCTGGGACCATGACCTGAGCTGAAGGCAGACGCTTAATGACTGAGCCACCCAGGCACCCCCCCCCTTTCTTTTCTTTTTTGATAAGTCTGGCTAAAAGTTTATTGGTTTTCATTTATCTTTTCAAAGAACCCAGCTCTTAGTTTCATTGATCTTTCCTATTGTGGGGTTTTTTTTTTTTTTCAGTTTCTATTTCATTTATTTTCCTTCTTCCTCTGCTTCTATTTCTTTTCTCCTACTAACTTTGGACTTTGTTTTTTCTTTTTCTAATTCCTTTAGATATAAAGTTAGATTGTTTATTTGAAGTTTTTCTTGTTCTTGAAGTAGGCCTATATTGCTATCAACTTCCATCTTAGAACGGTTTTTGTAAGTCCCAAAGATTTTTGAACCAACAAAGATTTTGTGCTTCCAATTTCATTTGTCTCCACGTACTCCTTGATTTCTTCTTTGATTTCCTCATTGACCCTTAGGTTGTATACTAGCATGTTGTTTAGCCTCTACGTGTTTTGTGGTTTTTTCCAGTTTTTTTCTTGTAATTGATTTCTAGTTTCATAGTACTGTGGTTGAAAAAGATGTTTGATCTTCTTAAATTTACTGGTACTTATTTTATGGCCTAATGAAATCTGTTTTGGAAAATATTCCATGTGCACTTGAATGTGTACTTTGTTGTTTTTGAATGGAATATTCTGTATCTATCTGTTAAGTCCATCTGATATAATGTGTCATTTAAAGCCACTGTTTCCTTATTAATTTTCTGTCTGGATGATCTATCTGTTGATGTACATGAGGTGCTAAAGTCCCCTACTGTTATTGTTCAGTTTCTTTCTTTATATCTGTTAATAGTTGGCTTTTTGTATTTAGGTGCCCTGTGTTGGGTGCATAGGTATTTACAATTGTTATATCCTCTTATTGGATTCATCCCTTTATAATTATGTAAATGGCCTTCATTTTTTTGTTTCAGTCTGTGTTTTAAAGTGTACTTTGTCTAAGTATTGCTACCCCAGCTTTTTTTTTCCATTTGCATGAAATATCTTT